CAAATTTGTCCATCACTTAAAGCTTAATTTAATGGAAAAAAACAAAGGAAAAGACTTAAAAAATTTTCAAGCGAAACCCATGTATCTTAAAACCACAAACAAACAGAAAGAGTAAAAATCTTGGCTATTGATGAACTTACCTCTGAATTTACATTTGACAAAGATGGACCAAAAATGAAAGCAAACCCAGAAGGCCCATCGTCCTTAAGTACGAGACCGGTAATGATGCTAAGGACCAGCGCTGATGGCTGCATTTCAAGGGCCACTATTGAACCAATCTGCTTCTTTCTTAACAGAGGAAGAGGCCATGCCATGGGCATGGCGTTAGGGAATAACAATATCTAACAAAGGAAGGGGTAATTTTGATGTAAATGGTGAACCAGTGCATAATGGAGAAGAAGATGGTGTAAAGCTGGAAACTTTACTTCATGGGGTTTCCTGCAATACGCTTGTGGCTTTGCTTCAGGTGTACGGTTAGGATGAGCTGTTGGGCTTTTGCTTGCGGGGCTTGAATGTACATAAATTCCACAAAGCCCAATGCATGGATTAACTTCTAAACCCTTTTTTTCCCCCCCCTAATTTGCTAAGATAAAATTGTATAACTACTACCAATGAGAAGTTGGCTTAATGTCAAAAGTCTTGAATTTCTAAGACTTCACAGTCTGAATTACACACACCATTTGAAGAATGGAATGAAATGTCTGTGCCTACAGATTCAAGCCCTTCCTCACCCAAGACAACTTGTATTTTCCACAAATACATAAACATATATGTAGCTGTAACCAATTCACTTTGGTCAAGTCGGTAATGTGAAACTAAAAACAATTTTGCTTACGACATATTTCAGCAGGGAATTGATAGTTGCCTTTGATTGGTTGAGGAAAATGACTATTGGAAGCATTTTCTAATTGATTTTTTGTAATCTCACACAGAATTCCAGGAAACTATTTATTACAATTAACAATAATACATAAAGTACAGTTGGTGTCATTTTCATAGTCCATAACTCTCCTCTTTTCCATTTTTTAAAAATTTTTTTGACCTTTTTCAATTTTGGATTCTGTATTGCAGGTCAATTTTATTTTATTAGATACATTGTTCTGAAATCTGAACTTAACTGCATGAATAATGTCCCTATCTCCCTTGGTGTTGGCATCCTATGCTTGTGCCTGAAGCAGTTTATCCTCATTCCTATGTCTAATTCTCATAAAGAGTTAATGAAACAACTTTGATACCTCAATGCGTGGAGAAAAAACTGGGATCATAAGGTATAAAATAATAAATTGTATATTCATTTTATGAAGTTTATTACTTGATGGTGATGGAAGGGAAAAAACAAAACAATCTATCTCCCTGATACCATTGTAACTGTCACATCATTTGAGGGTACGATATCTTGACCATCTAAATTAAAGTCTGCACCTATAGAACTCCTCATGGAAGTATAAGTTGGTTGTCTAGGTACTGGAAATGTTTGGGATTCTCTTTCTAGCATTAGCATTACAGATTCAAATTTTTGGTCAAAATACTGCAGAATCCAGCACACACAGCGTGCCTACATGCAGCATTTCATAACTTCATTAGGATTACATGTCCCTAATGGAAGGACCATTGAGCTCCATTGGCTTATTTTCATTCCAAAGATCCCACGCCTGAAACAAGTTGAGACTCTATTATTAGTGTTGCAGCTCTAGTTGCTTGTAAGAAAAGTGCAGTTTCTAGTTTGAGAGTAGGCTAGTCTAGATAAAAACTGCAAAGAGAATTATGTAATCAATCAGGCTGGGTGATCAGATGAATGAAAGCTAGCGCTCTTCTAACCACTCATAATCTCCAGTGGTATGCCAAAGCTATAAACATCTCACTTTACAATAGCAACCAATTAGGATTTATGTAGTACAAGTTCAAAGGCCATAGAATCCAATAACAACCAGCAAATGATGATGATTTGCGCCAGCAACAGCAGCAATACAATAGCAACAGACTAATTCAACATTTTTCAAATTCATATATTTTGGAATTAATTTTTTTGTTTAAATCTAACAGCTGATTCTCAATAACTATAACAGTAGTAAAAGAGTGGGGTTTCACTAATCAGAAGTTATTGGCCTTCAGCAGTTGACATAGTAATCTCACATATGGGGCATGGATTGTTGTCTTTGGGTTGATCAAATTTTGATGGATTATGGAATGTAAAAAAGGGTTCTTTTAGTTGCAGAAGCTCTGTTTTACCGCTTAGCATGGAAATCACAGCTGCCATGGTTGGCCTATTTTCAGCATGGTCCTGAACACAAAAAAGAGCAACCTGTATGCACCTCTTTACTTCAGTTGAGGAAAGTGAGTCGGCCAGTGCATCATCAATTAAGTCTAGCTCCTTGGCTTTACTCCATAGTTGCCATGCCAGATACAATGTAGTATGGGTCAGTATTAATTTAGAAGGCACAAATAACGCAGAGATGCAAATTTGAAACAAGAAGTGCAGTGCTTACATGGGAAAGAAGGCTTAGATGTTCATCGTCATAGAGGAACCTGGGAACCTTCTTGGAACTAACAATCTCTAATAGCGAAACTCCAAAGCTAAAGACATCTGATTTCTCAGAAAATATCCCACCCAATCCATCAAGCTGTGCTGTCTAGTTACCTTTGTAGAATTATAAAGCACTCTTTGAAAAAGACATATATATTATTACTCACCTTATAAACTGGCCCATATCCTCCTTGCCCAAGTTTATTAGCCATGCTGAAGTTGTTGGTGGCAACTGCTATGATATAAAAATCAAACAAAGGTAGCTCCTGTGGCTCACCTTTTCTAACAATGCTTCTCAACATAGATTCCAGCAAAGTGTCCCAAGGACTCTCCCTTCTAGCATCTGGAGCAAAATTGTTCAAGGTTCTGTCTTTTTTACCTGATTTTTCAGATTCAAGTAATGAATTCATCCATTCCAAGCCATGAGAGTAAAGAGCATATAAGAAAACAACAAAAAAGAAAGGCTATCGTATGTAACAATGTTTTCTGACAAGCAAGTGATATAGGGCTTTCTCTCATGGCTTTTAGCTCAAAAGTCATAGAGTAATCAGTGGTTATTGCCCAATATATACTAACTTAGGAATCTAGTCATCAAGAAAATTATTTATAAGATTGATTTTTGGGACAGTTATTGTTTCCTAAAATATTCTACAATTGCTATAGAAAAAGAATCTCGACCAAATGACCAGTTCATCCTGGATCTTGCTTTGGCAGGACCCAAGTTAATGGCATTCTATCCAAAAACTGAGTAAAAATTTCCATTTATACAAAGCAAAAAAATGGAAGAAAGTAAATGTCAGTCATGAAATTAACCAATAGTTGGGAAGATTTAGCTGAAATGAAAAGACTCAAAATCAGTTTCTTACCAATTGTTTTTGATCTCTGCCAGCATAAACCATAGACTAAGGCACCCAAGATAATGATACAAGAAACTGTTGTGAGACTGATAATGAGATCTACTTTTAGCTTCCTGTGAGCTAAAAATACTGATGGTGAAAAATGAAGAGATAGAATAATGAAACGAATAAAGATGAATGAGTCATTCTGAAGTGAAAAGAAAAGAATCGAGAAGAAACTAAATTCATTTTGAAAATATTGCTTAAGTCAATTATATTGTCACCTAATTCTGATGACACAAGACAAATGAAAAGATCTTTCCCACCACTGGAGAACTCTTGCATATCTATAAGGTATTCACTCCACAGCAGACACCCTATGCCCATTACATATGCATAAGCCTTGCAAGAACAGTTATTCAAGCACCACTATCCACATTCGTTCACATCTTTAACTTCTTCATACTTGGACTTATCTGGTAGCTTGACTGTATTCATTTTCCAAAACTTATCTGTTTCTTCACCCTGTGATGCTTCTAGACTTGTCCTTGCCAAAAAACTTAGTTCAGTTCATCTAATACACCCTCCTGTCCAATTATTTTTGTTCCATTCCTCATCTGACTTTGGTACAAATCCTTCAAGGCCGTTACAAATAGGAAATTCAGATATTTTACAGATCCCAAAAGGTCCACAAGTTCCATTGACATCACATGCATTATTTGGTCTTTTCCATGTTGAATACCAGCCTATGTCTTTCCCCCAACACATTATCTTTAGAGTTCCTTTGGATAAAATGACTGTAACTCTGTCTGTGGTGTTAAGACTTATATAGAAATACCCACTTTCTTGATCATTATTCAATACAAGGCTAACTGCTCTTGAATATGTTGAATCCATACCTGGTAGACCAATAAACTGTAGTTTATTCCACTCCCTGCTTCTCCAATAAGGCACTGATCCATTCCAAATAAAAGCTTGTGTTGGTGACCGCGTTACAATTTAAGTGACAAAATCCCCATGTGATTGATCACTATTACTTTTACAGGATGACAAGACATGCCTCTCACCTGTTTCAAGATCATACCCAATAACTGCACCAGGTAAAAAAGTATTAACTTGGTGCTCAAAGCTTTGCCATAACCGCTGTCCAGATAAAACACCCTGTAGAACGAAGTTCCCATTATCCAAAAGGACAGCCACTGAACTATTTGATCTGTCAGAAACATTGTTTGACCAGAGAGTTACTTCATTCCCATCTACAAGCTTCAGATTTCCATCACGACCAATTTTTAGACTTGCCAATGAATCAACAATCGGATTCTCTCTGTTGGCCACCCAAACAAATGTGCGAGGAGAAATGTTTTTATATGATATACCAACATACTGATTAGTGGAATTATCAGGATGAAAGAAGCTTAACTCAAAAACTTGGGCAGGGGAGATAAGGATTTCATTTTGTGATAATGGATTGGATGAAGTTATATTATAAGTTGCAGCATAGCAGTGCAAAAGAAACAAGTTCAAAAAGATGGAGACGGAAGATAATAAAATGCAAAAGTGTTGGTTCTCTGTAGGCATGTTCCTCTGGAAATTGTTTATTCATAAGATCAGAGATGTCAGGATGAATATGTAAAAGCAAGTAGATAATTAACAAGTTCCATTTTATTTTAGGAAAATAATTTCGGTGATTGTTTGAACTTTCAGTAGAAAAAGTAAATGCTTCTACGGTATAAGTCAAGATCTATCTTTCAGAAATGTTCTTTCTCTATTGTTGCATAAATCATCATTGTAATTTTTTTTCAATGAAAGTGTCACTCCTTGAGATTTCCAGGAAAGTCATAGGACATATTATGCAAAATTACTTTAACAAATTTCAAGCCAATGGTACTTGGAAGATCTTTGCATCTACCTTAAAAACAAACAACAATTAGGTCATATCACTGCCAAGAAATCCACACAGTTTGCCATGAAATTTTCTTTTAATTTTTCCTGAGAGTATAGGTGCAGGAAGTTGCAAGAAGTCTACAACACATTATTTCAAAATTTTCAATGCTTATATATATAAATAAACACACACACACAAAAATAAAAAGAAATACATGAATTTTCTTTGATTGATTGGATTGACTTTTCATTTTAAAGTAATTAACAGTTAGCAGTTCATTCTCAACCAATATTTTCTATTAAAAAGCTCAGACCCATAAGAAAACATATTGGTTGTGTTTGGGAACTTGAATTTGAATTTAATGAGTGTAATTAAAATACATTATTTGGATTGAATTAAAAAAAATAAATTTCAAATACATGTATTTTTAAATACATTGTTTGAATATTTTAAAATACTATGTATTTGAAATTGAATTTTTCTATTAAATTAAATCTTCTTCTAATTATTATTTAAATTTAATAAAATCAAGTTAACAATTTTAATATTTCAAAACATTATTTCCCTTAACCAATTGTGTCACCCTTAACATAGTCATCCTCAATCTTATTCTTAATTCCAACCTGTTCGGATAATTTCATCTATGCACCCTATCTTCCTCTTCAGACCTCTCCCTGGTGGGACCAAAGATGAGGCACCACAAGGGGGAGCAGTAACAATGCCTGCAAGTCTACTCTTACAAGAACCAATAGGTTGGGTAATCACATCTTCTTTGCACCTCTTTTTTATCCTTGCATAGTCTTCTAGAGAGTAATGAGATCTAAGATTAGACAATCTCGATTCATGGGATGCTGCAAAATTGGTTGACACCTCAAGAGACGCATTAGCTTTACTCCTTTTCCTCTTTTTCCTCATCGAAACAAAGATCAATGCTGCTGCTTGAATACACCCAAATTACATTGAAAACCTAGATATTACAACAAATCAACAAAATATTTGACTTTGTTGCACAATAGCTTTCTGGGTTTTTTTCCTATAATGATAAGAAAAAAGATCCATCATAAAAAGCACAATTGAACCTAGATTAAGACACAATTGAATAGGAGGAGAGCCTATAATTATCCAAATTATGGACCACCAACATCTAGAATCACGTTGAAAGTGTTTAATGTCAATATTTAGTGATATGTTCTTTGGTCTTTTCTCAATGCATGCAACCACCAAAGTTTTTCCGGTGAACTCTAGAAATGCAAATTCATTTTCTGTCTTAGGAAATCCAAGTGGGGATGGGCCCTTGTGGAGAGCTCAGATACATATCTTATCCAAAAAGCAATGGAACGTGGAGGTTTCCAAGGATTGGGGAGTTCCAATGCTACGACAAGGTATATTTAGTAAATCAAAAAAATGAGAGCTAGAGACAACTCTTTACCCCTAGATCTTATTCTGATTTGCCCTCCTTCAATCCTAATACAAACATGAAAATACCCACTTCTCAAATCTTCATTCAAAACAAACAATTCATCCAACCATACACATAAAATTGCAGAAAATTTCCAGAAAAGTTTACTGCATTTAACTCACTTCATTAAAACTCAATTACATCATATCATCCAGATATAGCATATATAAATGCAGAAAATTTATAGAAAATAACAACAATTTTTGAGGGTGATATTTAATTCATGAAGAATAAAAGTTGAATATGTTCAAGAAGAAGAACTGTGCTTACAGTGTTCCAACCACCTTGTGAGTCTTTGCCAAATATTGCGTCCCTTCAAAGATCCTTGCCAATCCAAAATCTGAAATTTTTGGGTTCATTTTTTCATCTAAGAGAATGTTGCTGACCTTCAAATCACGGTGTAT